AGGGAGAATTTTCTCACCTTTTGCTGCAGAATGGAGAGAAAGGGGAAATGCCAACACTGTTGAGAAGTGAGAGGAGGCAGGTAAAAAGGCTGCTGGGACCTCTGCTACCCTCCCTCAAATCAGGATTGCAGCGTTTATGGGCAGACAGGAGGAAGTTCTTGTGCCTGGCAGGCCCTATTGGGACTGAACTAATAGGAGCAGAAAACATTTTTTACAAGGCAAGTACGATCAGCTGCTTCCCAAAACCAGTCAGCCAATAATTTAGAAAGAGTTAGACTGAAGAGTCATAGGCTGGTGTTATACCAATTCTATTAGTTGTGTGCAATTCTGTGCACTTGTTTAAACACAGGAAATATGTTAAGGACCTCAAGTTTGTGGACTCTAGTTGGAAACACAAATCAGGCCTATTTTCACACTGTGTGTTCTGATACTTGTTAAGATATACTTTTCAACTTAGGTAAACACTAAAGAACTGTTATCAATGCACATAAGGGAAAAAAAACATGCATCATTTAGAAACAAGGCACAAAGATTTAACAAAATGCATTTAATAAATTCATTTTGTTTACAACGAAACAAATAAGTCACTAATCTTTAATAGACATTTTCGTGGGTAAAAGGCTTTTTGAGACCCCTGCTGACAGCAGAGGAGAACTACATCTAGGTGTTCATTACTGGAAACTGAATACATAATTTTCCTCATTAGCACAGACATCTTAAATATATGTCAGTTTTGAGATGTGGAAGATACATTACATAGATAAACATATACATGTGAATGACTGAAAGAAGGCTATTTACATAAGGTTTTTTTTTTGGCTTGAGGTTTATAGGTCTCTTAAAATTGCTACATGTGTTACATACTTTCAAATTTGTATTTTGGTTTATTTTTTAAAAGCATGAAAACTACACAACTCTTTAGAAACATATCTACTGCGAGAACAAGAATACTTAGAATTTTCAAAGAGGTGGTATTCTAATAAAAAAATAACAATACTAATTTTCCCCCAAAAAATGCAGGTATTTCAACAATATTATCAAGAGCATATTTTGTGCTCGATACTACTCTATGTGTTAGAAATATAAACAACTGTATAAGATGCTTTCAGGTTGCAATAAGTGGTAAAAAATGTAACACGGAAAGGGAATAGAGTAATGAAAAGGTAACTATCAGGGATTGCTTCGCTGAAGTTGTAAAACGTAAACTGAAACTATATCCTGATTTTAAAAATAGCCTTGTAGATGTTTTAGGTAAACAGCAGCAAGCAAACAATACCAAAGTTAAGAGCAGAGGGTAATCATGTAAACACAAAGGTTGTAAATAATATAAATCACGTGTGGCTCAGCTTCCAGTTGGGTCTTTGTGTTCTCCTCTCTTAAAGGAATCTAGATGTGTTAAAAAGAAAATCAGACAAAAAAACCTTGAGAACAGTCCTTAGGCTACCTTTAAACCTGTGACAAGTTTCTGAACTTCTTTTAAATAGCGGTCTCATCAGTAAATTATTGAAGACTGTACCTACTCAAAAGGTTTTTTTGATAATACAAAAAATATACACTGACATTCTACGTGAAAGGCCTACGTATAGCAGATGCTCAGTAATTTTTCATGATTCTTTCCTTTGATTCAAGGGTTTTCTTGTCCTCATCTGGCTAGTAAGTCTCAGCTCAGCTGTGACAGTCAATGGGAGGTAGTGGAGTAATGATGACCAGAGGGCAGGCAGGCAGCTAAGTGTGAAGTTGAGTTAGAAATACCCAAGAACAAAGATGCCACTTAGTCCTCTTTGTAAACCCCAGGCCTAACATAGGGCCTGACATAGAGTAAGGATAAATAAATACTCAGAAATAAAGACTCAGGAATAACTAGCTCTGGGTAATCCACATAAGGTATCATATGGCCCTAAAGTCATGTGACAAAAATGATCACGACTTAAGGATTTCAATGGCTCCCAAACACTAATGATCTGTGAGGCTGTCACTTCATTGCTTTGTGCTGTGGTAACAGTGATATAAGTAAGTCATGTACAACCACAAATCCTTAAGAAATGACTTTTGCTAAGAGGTAGTTTATAATTGGTTATGAAAAGCTGTGCCTGGGCCGGGGTGCAGTGGCTCACACCTGTAATCCCAGCACTTTCGGAGGCCCAGGAGCGGGGATCACCTGAGGTTGGGAGTTTGAAACCAGCCTGGCTAATGCGGTGAAACCCAAACTCTACAAAAAATTGGTGGGGCTGGTGGCGCATGCCTGTAATCCCAGCTACTGAGGAGGTTGAGGCAGAATTGCTTGAGGCTGGGAGGTGGAGGTTGCAGTGAACAGAGAGTGCACCTTTGCACTCTAGTGTTAAACTCTGTCACAAAAAAAAAGAAAGAAAAAAAGATATGCTTACTTGAACATATCTATGCCAAACATTTCCCAGTTGCTAGCCTATAATGATAAAGGAAAACAACCTTGAAATACTTTTGTGATGGCAATTGCTTTCCAATGTAAGGGACCTTCCTTTATGTTAAGATGGTGTTGTTCCTATATTTTGAGAATGAAACTGCCCTTTCATTCATGAAATTATAATAACAATATTATAATTTAACTCCATATAAGTATATATATAAATGAGATATGTGATATGAATGATAGTAAATGGGACATTTTATTAAATTTATTTGGAAAAATAAGAAATTGCCAACTCATGGGGAGAACATCAATTTTATTTAATGTGATATCCATCCCCAAAGAGGTGTGAAAAATTCTGGTACAGCTAATTAAAGCAAGAGTAGATTCAAAGAGGGAGAAGTCTGATGTGAACTTCATAAGGGAAGCAGGAAGCAGAAATTACTTTTTGCACTCAAGCATACAGTGAAGGAGAGGCATAAAAGAAAGCAAGGAGGGCACTGATGCAGAAGTTATATTATGGATGCTGGTCCAGTGCAAAACTGACCAAGTAAAGACTTACATATAGTAAAGTCCCCCTCTCTTGTGGGGGAGTTGGGAGACTGCAAGCTGTTTAGTAACCATGGATTAATGTCAGTCAGGAAAAGCCAGACTGAGGATGAGGGAGACGGGTAGAAGGAAAGACTTGTTATCTAAAACTTCTTCATTATTGTTGATTCTCTGACTACATTTCTCAAAATCTAACTGGGATAAGAATAAAGCCTAAAAATAACAGAATAGGGAAAGGTGCAAGGGGAATCAGGTAAGCACCCTAAAAATGTCTTAATACAGGATTTATTAGGGTTCCTGGCTCTACAGAGATTTATGTTCAACCTCAATTTGCCATTCTGCTCTCCCCAAATTCCAGAACTAGCTCCTTCTTAAGACAACTTGACTAGGCAAATGAAAGCTCTTTAAACCTTTGCTCGCTTCCTTCACTTTTTCAATTACCCGCTGGATATGTCTTCAATCTAGACATTCTAAGACAAAACTTATCCTCCCTCATCAGATAAACTATTCAGTGTCCTGTCTGTGCTTGTGTAATCAGATTGCTCTATGATAATTTTTACTCACTGATATATGGCTAAATATTCATACACCATTTTAGAGTACTGTATATGCTGAGTGCTTATGTGCGTACACTTTTTATCCACAAGACCATATTATCTTGAAGGCCTTGGTGACAATTTCTCTCTCCAGCATAGTGGCAGGGCTGGATATGAATCCCATTGCCACCACTAACTAGATGTGTGAATGTAGGTAAGTGATTTAACATATCAATGCCTCTGTTTCTTTACCAATAGGGAATAATAATACTGACTTGCTCCAGAGAGCTTTTTTTTTTTTAAGATTAAATATTTAGAAGGGTGGCTGATATTTAGTAATGACCAGTAAGAGTTAGCTGTTATTGGTGGTGGAGGTGTTATTAAAAGTGTAAACTCTGGAAGAATATTTCTTAGGCTCAATTCCCAGCCCCATCATTTCTTAGCTGAGTGATTTTAAGCAAATTACTTGACCTCTCTGCATCTCAGTTGCCTCAATTGCAGAAATGGGGATGATGAAACTTACTTCAGTGGGTTTAGGAAAGACTAGGAAGATTAATATATTTAAAGCCCTTAGAACAATATTTGCCATGTATAAAGGGCTCAGCTTCCTATAATGAATCAAGACTATTTTTGCTTAAATCTTTTTATTCTCTGAGTTATGAATTTAGGTCAGTTCTACATTCAAGATAAATCTCAATTAATTCTTCTTTCTACTTTTCCCACTTCCTCCCATCTCCCCCTCTTCCTCTTTCCTTCTACTTTTTTCTTTACTTTTCTCTCTCTTCTTCTCAGTTTTTATTTTGTAATTTGAAATTAGTGTGCAAGCCAATGCTTCTTCAGGAAAGACCATTCTAAGAGAACAACAGGCAATCACTTTAAGAAAAAAAAAAAAAAAAGGATTTTAAAAGAAGTAGAAATACAGTCCTGTGACAGTTTTCTGAAAAAAGGAACATCTGCAGCTATTTGTCCTGGCATAACTTCGTCCAATCAAAATGGACTCAGAACGTTGCTAAGGGAAGCAATGTTTCAGCATGTCTGCCCTCTTCCCTCCATGAAATGCTAAGATTGTGTCTTTCTGGAGAAGTAGGTATGCTGGGTTATCTAGTTAAGTTCTCAAGTAAACTCCTAGTAGTTATGTACGTGATATACTGAGAATTAATGACATTAAAACATTTGATGAATGTGAAACACATCCTAGTAAGAAAGACAGCGAGAAATATATTCAATGTTTAAAAATAGAATTCTAATGTACTTTACTTATTTATTTATTTATTTTGTTTTTGAGACAGAATCTCCCTCTTGTTGCCCAGGCTGAATTGCAACGGCACAGTCTCCACTCACTGCAACCTCCATTTCCCCAGTTCAAGTGATTCTTCTGCCTCAGCCTCCCAATTAGCTGGAATTACAGGCATGTACCACCACACCTGGCTCATTTTGTATTTTTAGTAGAGATGGAGTTTTACCATGTTGGTCAGGCTGGTCTCAAAAGCCTGACCTCATGTAATCCACCTGCCTTGGCCTCCCAAAGCACTGGGATTACAGACATGAGCCACTGCACCCAGCCAAGAATAGAATCTAAAGCTATAACTGATAATCTCACAGAGGAGAGAAAGGACAAAGGCTGGCAAATACCAGAAGTGATAATACAGGTCTAGAGGAGAAAGCATGTTCTAAGAAATTCATCCAAAGAGAGAATGAAGACTATCTTGGATTTGAGGTAAGTATTCAGATATAGGCTAGATCATCACTAGAGGAAGATGACACTTAAAACTTCATAACACTGAAGTTTAGGTTCAGATGACCTGAGATCCTCACAAGTCTAAGACTCCTCATGGTTTAATACGCATTTAAAAAAGTAAATCATTCAGAATAAAACTTAAAACTCAAATAGCCAAATAATTTGAATCAATTCTGAATTGTGGATGCTTTTTTCTCCTTCAGCAATCTAAGCCATTTCTTTATTTTTTTTTTCTACTTTCCTTTACACATATGGCCAAGCCTGTATATGCAAAAGTAATTTACAATTCTAGCCTTCCTAATTTGAAATTCTACAAGTCCAAGAGAGTAACCAGATTATGAAAACACTTGATGAATTGTGCAAACCAGCAGTTAAATATTATAGTTTAAAAACTCGAGTCAAAAATATTTCTTTTCCTTCAGGAAGAAATATGAATGTTAAAAACGTGGTGCCGTGTGGAAGCAAAGCTCCGTAATTAATCTATAGCGCCATCGCCACTGTCAGAAGCAGAAAGGCCCCAGAGGAAATACTTTTCCTAAAGAATGATGGTGGCATTAGTGCCAGCAGTAATGATAAGATGCTGAAAAGTATGTGAAAATTTCCTTTAGAATTCTGTATGGGGTTTAATTATAAAAACTAGTATCTTGGGTACCTAACTATTTTTTCAGAGAAAATAAGAGTAAATTAATGTCTTGATCCCCACAACAATGAGGTCATGGTCACCTAGCTGGTAAACTGGAAGAACAGGTTATGGATGGAAGCTCTCCAATTGCAGTGCACATGTTTGTATCAACTCGACTACTACTCCCTACAGCCTAACTTTAGGGAGGTATAACTGAAAGAACATCCTCGTTGGGGCAACAGCCACAATATCTACTGTATGTTCCTGGAATCATTACCTTTTCCTCTGCAGAAACATCAGTTGCCCTGGCAAGACAATGCTTGACATGCTAAGTTCAATTTTAAGTCCCATCATGAAGGATATGAACCAACTGGAGTACATCCTATATATTTTATCAGTAAAGATTAAATAAAACATACAATTGGTCAAAAATGTCTTAGGTAATAACCACATGAATACTAGAGAAAAAACGAATTTTGTGTATATGTGTTTGTGTGTAAAGAGTTCTTCAAAAATCAATTTAAAACGTTTAGGTTAGTGTATTATTTTTACAGATGAAATTTCCATGTATAATCACTTTATCTTATTCTGCTTCATAAGAACACAGAACCCTTGGAGAATTTCCTTCTTTTCCTCTAATCCTTGAAAGTATAACACGTCAAACTTTTACAGATTTGGTTAGTGCACTTCCTCATGTGATTATACATGGTTTCCATGGACTTCCTTTTAGTCTCTAGTATGAGGGGAAATGATACAACCCATAAAAATAACCACTATGCAGTTTTAAAAGCACTCTTAAATCACATTATTGGTTGGAGGTTTTTGTTTTTTACTCTTAAAGTTATGAAAACACCTACACTCATGTACCTTACTATCTATTTTATTCTATCCTCTGCTCCCACCTTGACCTAAAAGCCAACACACTTGAACAAATAAATCTGGTTTCAAAAAGAGAATGTAATGGGTACCAAGATATGTTCCTAGCTTATCCTACATTTTCCTGAAAACAATCAATATAGATAGCCCGAGGCAGACCATTTCATCATAAATGTAATTTCTGAGAGTAGACAGTTATTACCAGAGACCTTATGCCTTACTCATTAAGAGAGAAAGTGTGACAGAAACCATATTGGCACTAGGAGAAATTGACTGGTAGGCAAAAATGTCTCCTGCTTCATTACACAGTCTTCTCTTCCTGTTCTTCCAGTAGAAGTGTCTGCTATGCTTCCCCAGATACCCAGGACCTTTATGATGTCACTCTCAATGACCTGACCAATGTCCATTTTCAGAAATTATTTTATAAACTCATTCAAACCAATGTGTAAATAATCAACACAAGTTTTAAGGCATAACGAAGCTTTGTACTCAAATGATACAGGTCAGAGGAGCATAGACATTAACTTAATAATAGTATGTTGGGAAGCATATCTCATAAATCCATAGCTAATATCTTTGAGAATACAAGCAAAAGAAAGGAGATGGTAAGGATTTAGAAGTTCTTTTGGGTGATGATAAAAATGGGAGTATTTTTGAAGTAGTGTCTGCTACTCAGATGTTCTGAATTGCTATAGAGGATAGATTATGTGAAGTGAAAACCGGAGATACACCCAAATCACAGATACATTTTTGTATAGACCTGCATTTTTTAGGGAAAAAATAAACAGGGCTATACAGCTGCCCAATGGCGGCTTGCTCAGCAACACTGAGTGGTCAGCAACCATAAGAAACCCAGTGCCTTTTATCATCACTGCCCTAGGCATATGGACCTCAGCTCTGTCACAGAGCTATTCTGTAAAGCGACACCACACTGAGCTGGGAGACCACATAGAGAACACATTCCTTAAACGTACAAGTCCCCACAACTCATATACCACTGAAGTAGCCACACTATGCACTAAGAATATCCTATTTAATGTTGTTTAGGGGTTAGCATGGGTTGGTAGATGAGGGCGTAGACTTGGAGTCACACAAGCTGGCTTCAAGTCAGACTCTGCCACTCTCTAACTGCATCACATAGTCTCACAGAGTCACTTACCTGACTGCTATTTCTTCAACTATAAAATAAAAAAGAAAAGATATAGTCTTTGAGTGGTTATTATGGAAATATAATTACATAATGTATGTACATTACCTGGGATGTAAACCTTAGTAAGACATTAACAATCATAGTGATAATCATGATATTTATGATAAAAAAGATACTCTCAAAGGAGGTATGCTTAACAGAAAGATAAAGACATTTCACATCTCTTAATCTAAGGCCAATATTCATAGTGGTTTAGAGCACAAGCTTGGAGATCAAATATTTTGGAAAAATCACTCAAATATTTTACAACAAAGTTTCCCATCTAAAAAGCAATCAATAACCATGCATGTTCAAACTTTTACTGTGCAGATTAAATAAACACATGTAACCATTTAGAATGGCGCCTGGCATAGGGGAAGCAGTACATACAAGTTAGCTATTATTCTTGTTGCTCTTCTTGCCAATGGTGGAGGTGAGAGCATGGTAGAAATGTGAAGATTAGTCTTGGCAAAAAAATTGTCAATTTTCTAAAAGCTGATGAGAAGTGAGTGCTGGAAGGGAGGGCTTCATTATTTTCATGCTTGAAATACCCTCTCCTTTGGCCACTCACTGGTTCACTTGCCCAGGTGGCAACACAGGAGCCCAGCTGAGAACCCAGCAGTCACACTCTAAAAGTTGCTCCATTAGGACCCAGCCAGTTTGGCAACACTAAATTACAACTGGATCTTTTCTACTGAGAATCTATAACTAATATCTAATAATACAACCATCTGTTATTTTGTATAATACGGTTGTAAACAACATCAAGAGTTTGGCAATTAAAGTTCTCTGTTAGGTAGTTGTTCACATTTACGTGAAAATCATAAAGACACAACAAAAGCAATACCTAAAAACAGCTATGAAGTTGATATTTCCAGGTTCAGACCACCATTACCATCACCATTACCACTACCACCATCATCAACATCATTTTACCCCAACTTTCTTTTGCTTTTTCTTCTCTTCTTTTCTGTCAGCTCCATTTATTGATAATCAATAATGTATCAAGAATTTTACACATAATATTTCATTAAATTTTATTCTTGGCATATTCATTATAATTTCAGAAAATAATTATGATTATGTCCATTTTACATATTAAAAAATAACTGAGACTCAGCAAGATTAAGTGCCTGACTCAACATCACAAGATGGTAAAAAATAGAACTTAGATTTAGGCTCTGAATTTATGACTCTAAGGCTAGTGCTCTTTTCCTATTGTGCTATACAAATACTATGATAAAATCCATGGTGCTACTAGAGCTGACACAAATTTGAAACTTCACAGTTGCTTTCTTTAATTACATCAGCACTATCAGGTGTGTGTGCATGTGCGTGTGTGTGTGTAAAAGTGGAGATACTTGGGCCATTTTCACTTCTGAAATTAAAAACTACATTATACACAGCAATACATTCATCCTACATTTTCCCTATATAGCAAGACCCATTTTGACACACAATAGTAAATTATTGAGTGAGGCACTCAATTAACAAGAAACAAAATGAAGTGTTTATAATAATGTATCACAGAGAGCCAATTCCAACAGTGACCTTCAGGTAAAACTGTTCAATCTTTTGCTCTAAGACCATTCCATTGTGCTTTGTAATTAATAATTTCACACATGGATATTGATGACAGACTTCAAACAAGAAATCAGCAGCACCTCAGAAACCTCTGTCCCCATCAGGTGAGCAGAGGGGCTGGCCGGATGGGCTCCATCAGCCAGGATAATTATTATGAATAAGGAGGTGTGTCACCTGTCTGTGAAGGACATCGGTACCTGTACCAAATTACACGCAGTGGCACACAACTCAGATCTCTAGAACATCTGAAACGCCAAGCAAATGCAAATAGCAAAATACAACATGGCTGACGTATTCTAGGCAGAAAACAAAAACTGATTTTGGAAAGCAGGATAAAGAATTGAAGAACTGCTAAGTATGAAAAGTAAAAGAGTAGCCAAACCCAGCTAGAGGCCAAGAGGAGTCACTGTCAATTCTCTGTAAAAGTCACTGTTCTAATATTTTCTTGAGAGTTCCCAAGCATTATTTTCCCTCTTTTTACGATTTTTTTCCCATCTTGCCAATTACATTCTACTAAACACTGCACTGCTAAGAACTCATTTTCTATAAGCTTAAAACGCTGACATCAGAGTAGAATTGGATGATGCATATCCTACACTCCAGAGCACACCAAAAACCATGCCAATTCCATACCTTTGAGTCCATGTTTTAAGGGGGAAAAAACCAAAGAGAAGGGCTAACACATACAGAGAGGTGTCCTTCGAACGATCAGAGACACATAGCTTAAGATTCCCCTCAAAATGTGTTTAATGCAAATTAAATAAAGAAAAACACATTAAAGATTTTTCTCGAATGGAAATTTATCATGGATATTGCTGTAAAGAGAATAATATTCTCTTTAGTTTTTTTTTTTTTTTTTTTTTTTTTGGTTAAAATCAAGATTTAAATAGGCCCACTTACCTTAAAGAAGATATAACAAAACATCATATAGAGATAAAAACATTAAAATATTTCTTAATCCTAGGTTACTCATTGGTTATTTAGAAATTCTGGATAGACTCACGAGTCAAACAGAAGCGACGGAAGATATTGAAATGTCTCCCCGTGGCATATTCAGTGGAGAAAGTCATTACATGTTGAGAGAGTCCAGTAACCACTGTTGGGTAGTAAAAATTGGTTTCACTTACCTAGAAAAGGGGAAAAAAAAAAAAGGAAAAATTAATGCAATTCTTTGAATTCCAAAAGCTGTGTTTGTTTCTTGCTTCCCTTTTCCTTCCTTTCATACTCTTTTCACTTTCCAGGAAACAGCCTTTCAGTTTCTCAGTATCGGTGACAAAGATCACACATATGCAATAAAGAAGACAGATGTTCTGTCCTTGGCATGGAGAACAGCAAGGTCTACCCCTCCTCATACCTTGTTCTGTAGGTGTCTTAGGTGGGAGAAGCAAGACAAAGTCTTAACTTTTCCTCTGAATGTAAAGGTAGGTATTTGTGCTGTTTGGGTCAGAGCCATGCCTACTCCTTAGGAGAGTCCTCCCAAACCTGCTCTTCCCGCCTTAGCATCGTTGAATATGATCCCTTTTCCCTCAACAACTCCCACCTCACCCATCTTGCCACTCGGTCTGGCTATACACAGAGTAAATATATCTGGCGTTCCTACTGGTAGCATTTTATTTAGAAATGACCTTCTTAAAAAAGAGCTTACACTTTTGAAGCCCAAGTCAGGGCCTGAGCTCTCTGTATTTATTGCTGAAGCAGTAGTTATGACACTGCCCTCTAGTTAAGTATTCATCTCCCCTCCATCCTCTGCCCTCAGGGCTGTATTGTACTTTTTTGTTCTTTTCACAGTTTCCAGGATTTATTGAAACAGTCTTTCAATAAAGACTGTTTAATAAACAAATGAACTTACCAATAAGTAAAGGGAGTCCAGGTCAGAGCAAAAAGAAAGAAAGAGAATGCTGATTGCTTAAGATGAATCTAGAATCTAGGCTTTAAGAGAGAAACGAAAAGGTGTTATCCTGTTTCCTTCTTGTTCATCTTCTCACTTTAGTGAAACGATTATAAATCAACATACAGGATCTGGGGTACAATGTTGTTTTTCAGGGACAAAACATGGTACTTGTGCTAGGTCCACCTGAAGAGCCAGGGGAAGGAAAATAACTTCTGGGTGGCTTCACTAAAAAATGTCCAGGTCATGTGTCCGTCAATTACTAATTATATGATTTGCATAAATTACTCATCTTCTAAGTCTTGTTTATTAGATAAAAATAGAAATTATCATCTTTGGCCTGTGTACATTACTGTGTTTTAACTTTATATTTAGAAATAACTATAGTCACACAGGAAACTGTAAAACGAGTACATAGAGAACTGTGAATCCTCTCCCCAACTTTCCCCAGTGATATAATACATAATGCTAGCACAGTGTCAAAAGCCAGAAACATTAGAATTTGTTGAGAGAACCAAATGAGGTGATGGAAATGTCTAATTCATTATATTTTTATTAGATTAATTATTCTTTATTTGGCAATTCATTACTAAAAGCTTACTATATGCTAGGTACTGTGCTGGACACTTGCGTTACATTTGTGATCAAAACAAGCCTGTCCTAGGCCTTTGTGAAATTTGTGTGTAGGGGTAGAACACAGAAAGATGAAACAAGTACAATGTTGTGCAGTATGTTCAGTTTTTACATGGGCAAAAAACTGAATTCCTAATTGAATCTAGAAAGGAGGATGATATAGCCAGATAGGGCTTCCAAAAATGAATTTTCAAGTCTGATTCATATCTGAATGATGAGCTGGAATTGCCCAGGTAAAGAACAAAGAAAATATATTCAGGTAGAAGGAGCCACACACATGAAGTCAAGGAGAAAAAAGAAAATATCTAGCCTATTTTAGTTTGAACAATAACAATGAATCATATTTGTTTTGCAAAATGGTTGAGTAGTGACATTTTCATGTGATTCAATCTAATAATTCTTCATGGCTATGTAAGTGTTGTCATGAAGAAGTAAGCTTAAAAAAAAAAAAAGAAAAAGGAAAACTTGGATAAAATAGAGCCTAGTTGGCCAGGTTAAGAAGTTTGGAATTTACTCTAACAGCAAAGAGGACCAGGGATGTGTTTTAAACAGGGGGCATTATAATCAAATTGGCATTTTGGAAGTTTATTCTGGCTGCCTGTAGAGAAATGAATGTGATGGAGCAAATGTGGATATGGAGGAAGGGAGATCAGTTGGAAATTGTAGCATTAAGCCACGTAAGACATTACAGCAAGTTTAGCTGAGACTGTGGACCAGGGGACAGGTGGAAGTGGGCAGATATTTCAGGGATAAAACTAACTTAATTTGGAGATGGGCTGTATGTATAAAAAGAAAAGCAGTAATAAAGGAGACACCAAGGTTTCTAGCTTAAGCAATACACACATGTACATACATAAATGTGCACAGTGGTACAAATATAAGCGGAGGAAAAGCTATAGGTGAGTCATGATAGTGAAAACATTTTGTAAACAGCAAACTGCTATGAAAATGTAAGTTAGAGATATTTTCCTGCATATGGAGTATGTGTACTGCATGCATATATAATTGTCGAAAGGATTACAGGAAGAAGTGGCCTGCTTTTTGAGAGCAATGTTAGTGCATGGCTTCTACACAGCGTATCATAATTGGTTTGTGGTGCCATTTAGTAATGCCAAGACAATTCATTAAGAGAATCAAGAACAAGCAGGTGTTTCCATTAGAGCTTGCTCTAATAAACATACTCACACACACATTCACACATAGCATCCAACCAGGGCAGAGTTAAACTTGCTGGTGCACCCAAAGAACTCATTTCAGAAAACTGTAGTAGATAGCATTTATAAATCAAGAATGGAAACTAATCCTAAATGGAAAAGAAAAATCACTCAAGAGATTGATAATTTAAAAGACTATGATGCTTATTACTTCTCACCATAGTCATTTAAATAAATATCATTCAGCAGACCCTATATTCTGCTATTGCTTTGTGATGTAAATGAAATAACTTATGTCATTAGTCTCAAGATGCCAAAGATCAATTAGACTATTACTTTTCATTAAGACGGTCTGTAATTGTTTACTACCGAAGGGCACCCAGCTGATTAGGAGTTACTTGAGATTTGGGGACACATCTTGCTTATCTTTGAGTTCTCCATAGAGAATAGCATGAGGCATTGCACTTAACAGGCTCTCAAGAATATTGTCATAGTTTAGTAACTTTATTAAAAATGAAACACACTGAGTTATATTCAGTATGATTTATTTTCATCCAAATAGTATTGGTGATGATTACTTTAAAAGTGCTATTGTTGGTAAGGTGCTTTGTCAACTTTTCAGGGAAACATCATTTACTTTAAGTTGGCAAAACACAATTTATCGAAGGGAAGTCAGGGGAGAAAGGAAAAGCTTTGAGTAAATTCCAAGAAATGCGTTTCTTGGAAGTAAGAGGCTTATTAGTGTTACTAATTCATAAAACATGCTTAATGCAAAATCTTGAAAACATTCATACAATTGGGTTGTTTTTGGAAGTTTCACTTAAGTATCTATTGCCAATGCCCTCTTTTAACTCATAGCAAACTTCTAATAAGACATTTTTTGGGGGAGGAATGTGTAGAAGAATCCACAACTGTCAAAACCACATTATTATTATTAATTTTTTGAAACATGATCTCAAAAAAACTGATGCCTAGGCTGGAGTGCAGTGATGCAATCACAGCTCACTGCAGCCTTGACTTCCTGGGCTCGTGATTTTCCCATCTCAGCCTCCTAAGTCACTGGGTTTAGATGCACTTGCCACCACACCTGGCTAATTTTTTGTACTTTTTGTAGAGATCGTGTTTCACCATGTTACAGAGGCTGGTCTCGAACCCCTGGGCTCAAGTAATCCACCTGCCTTGGCCTCCTAAATGTTGGGATTGATTACAGGCATGAGCCACTGAATCTGGCCTGTTAGTATTAATTTTAATTTGTGGAGAACCACTTTCTTCCTCACTTGGTGTGACAGGTGGTGCCCATGCTGCCTCCATCTTATCCCAGTGTGATTTTAATGAGATGAGATGAAAGTCTTGCCCTCTCTATGGCTTGGGCATTTCACATGATTTCATATTAGTAGAGATTGAAAAGTTGATATGACTGTTAGTCTTGTTCCAAGCTCCACCTCACAGCTCACTGGTTGGGTGGCATTACCAGCCTAAGGGCTGAAGAAGCAAGGCAGAACAGCTTCTGCATCATCTCTGCAGCTGATGAAGATGTTTTGCCAACACGGTGGTGCTGAAAAGAAAACAGCAGCAGACAAACACAGACAGTTGGTACTTGGCCTGGATTTCATATTGTTTTGTAAAATGTGTTTTATATCCTGGTGACATCCTACAATTCCTCTGATCTTTGAGAAAATTAGTCTGTTATTATGAATAGATATAGTCAGATATTCAGCACTGAAATTCCTTATGTTTTTTAGGGGAAAACACCTGTAGTGCTCACCTATATTTATCACATCAGGAAGTTAGGAGGCCCTGACCCAGAAAAGACCCTTCAAATATAGATTGGCGAGTGCAACTCAGCTAGGCTTATTAAAAGTCCATATACTGTCTGCATATTTATTAGATTTCACATACTTATCAAAGTAAATAAATAATTTTTAAATGTCCACATACTGTCTGGATAAAATCTTGGAAACAAATACAATTGGACTAGGATAGACAGTTTCTGATAACGGTTAATCTCTTCTATATCTCCTGAGAATGGACCTGCTCCCACTATGGAGCTGGGATTGTTACTATGCTGCTTACTCTCAAGGTGTTGACAGGCATTGCAAGCACAGCACTCCTCCAATTTTATAAGCAAGTTTTGCAATTTTCTAATCAGAGCTAATAGCTCATGCAATAGTCCTCCATTGGTGTGTGGTCAAGGAGTTAGACATAGAGGAAAGATACCAGTGTGACTGGAGTGGAATGGGTAAAGTGGGAAGGAGGTAGTAGGAAATGAGGTCAGAGAGGTAACAGGAATTAGGTCGTATAGATCTGGTTGGTCTCTATAAAGATCCAGTATGGAGGGTTGATATGTGGGTTTGGGTCTCTCTCCCCAACCGGGTGCAAAAGAAGCAAGTTGTTTATGACAGCAGCTGTATCATTTAATTAAGTTGTATCATTTAATTAAGCTGGTGGCTTTAGGGAGGCTACAGCTCTTAGGAATGGGGGAAACATCCAGTTCTAGGAACAATGGATGCCTATCTACATTATTCAAAAGGGCCCTATATAGGAGCTTCCATGATTCAGTAAACTAAAAGAATATACTCTTGTCTTAGGCATTTTATTGGGCACCTGTAATATTTTTCACTTGGAGCAACCAAATAAGAGAGTAAGATTTCAAGGCTGAAGGTTGAAGCTGTGGGATGGTGGGAAGACAGTCATAGCACAATATTCTATGTTATTTGACAAGGTTCTCCAGTAGAAAGAAAAAAAT